CCCCAAAACCCCAAAACCCCAAAACCCCAAAACCCCTAATTTATTCCAAGAAATGAGAGCATAAAATTATAATAAAAATATGAAATTCAAAAATAAAGTGGTTAATGCTCCAGAGAGCTCTCATGAAGAAGGTATTATCAAAAAAGCCTGAGAGGAGCCTATTCGATTTAGTTCTAGTTTGTACACCCTCATAGCAGTTCAACTATTATTATTCTCTGGCAAAACAAAAATCGTTAATTTCTAATAAAAATCAAATAATTGTTACTATTGTGATTATGCAATTTACTGTAAGAAAACTATTACCTCATAAATAGGCCTAACAATTTGCTAAAAAATACCATAATAATTAACATGTTGAAAATGACTGAGAGAGGACCAATTGCTCATATTAAGGTCAAACTAAATCCGAGTTAAAGTATATAATTCAGCGGAAATATCAAAACCTTTGTTATATACATCTTCTCTCGATTTGAATTATCAGAAAATTAGGATTTTCAATTTTATTGCGCCTGTTCAAAACAATGTTATTCATTAATAATTTATAACTCTTTCTTCTCAGATTTTGATCCGAGCAAGAATGCATATGTTCAAATAAATGCAAAAACTTGGTACAGAGACTCCCATGGGCTGTTTGACTATGACTCGAACAACGTTGTAAAGACAAAGACTATTTAAGGCTTTCCAGTCTTGCTTTCTCAACAAAATGGCAGATGACAAAATTATTCCAAATGTGGAATTCAATGCATTAGATAATCCTATCGAAAACAATCCATTTTCAGGTAATTCTAAATATCATATGTTTATTCTGTAGTCTCTATTGTATTCATAAACGGGAAATATTACATGCAAAACGACAAGGGGTATACTTGGAGAGTTCTGAAATCTCCTAAAAGATTTCCTGGACTAAAATGGGCGCCAGAGAAACTTCGAAAAGGAGACATCTTGAAACTTGGCAGATACATTTACGAAGTTAAAGTCATCTCTTCTCAAAGCGTCAATAATGATCGTGAAGAAAGGTAGCTCTCAAAACTAAATTTTAGTCTTGACAATACTGAAATTGAAGCAAAAAGAAAAGCTAATAAAGTTACCAACCAACTTAGTATGAATAAAGTAATCAGCGTTGTAACAGCAGTTGATGAAGGAGACAAGGATGTAGACAACGCTTCAGATAGAGGAGGGCTTCCTGCACATTCATCTCAACAAAGCAAGGGAGAAATGCTATGTAGAATCTGCCTGTCTGAAGACTCTGATAAAGATAATCCGATGATTTCCCCTTGAAAATGTGCAGGAACAATGAAATATATTCATTTAGATTGTCTGAAAGAATGGCTTAATTGTAAGTGCCAAATGATATACCATTATAATCTCTTACATAGCTAAAAGATCAGAGAAAAGAGGGACTCACTTTAGTTCATATCTTTGGGAGAACGTATATTGTGAGCTATGCAAAGATAATTTCACTGAAAATGTAACTACTCAATATGGTGTAGTAAATATCCTTGGAATTGAAACTCCAGCTAATGACAACTATATAATCTTAGAGGCATTAAATAGTGAGGAAATTCTACACAGAAATACCAAAATGGTTCATATCATTGACTTCAGAAAACTCAAACAATTGAATGTTGGAAGAGGACATGATAATCATGTGAGAATTACTGACATAAGCATTTCAAGATTACACTGTAAACTTATATGCATGAAGAAAGAAATATATATTGATGATCAAGGATCTAAATTCGGATCTTTAATTGCAGAGCAGAAACCTGTAGATATTTCAAAACTGGGAAATGAGTCTATGATCCAAGTAGGAAGAACCTTATTAATGACATCCGTTTGCAAGCCAAAGATATGATGTTGAAAAACTTACAAAACATCAACAGCTACTCTTGGGCTACCATATTCAGAATACTCAAAGGTGTTTCCATCCATCTACAGGAAGATCTATGATCAAGAGTACCCTCAAAAATGAATTAGAAATACCGATTTAGATGAAAATGGAATGATATCCTCTCAAGATCTTCTTCAGAGAAAGAATTTCAAAGCAGATGATGTAAACTATCATACACAAGATAGAGAACAACAAAATTATGATTACCACACCCTTGGAGTTGAGATAGAAGGAAGACCAAGTAATGCAATGCAAACTCAGACTTTAATAATGCCTTACACTGAAAACAATCTCTCTTCAGGGAACAGGAATAATAGCAGAAGGAATATTGAAAGAACTCCTCAATTACAATCCGACAGTATTAATGATGAAGTAGACCACAGGTTTAGTAGTGATGATGAAGAAGAGAAAAAGAATAATAGAGAAGATAAAGAAGAACAAAAGGTAAGCATTCTCATAATTATAAAAAGGAGGCTTCATTTAACCAAAGTCCAACCAGAATGGAAAAACAAGCAGCTAGAATGATGGATGATCCATACAAAAACATTGATACTAGTAAAAACAATGCGTCAGACGCCTCAGGAGAAAAAGAGAAAAGCAAAATAGATGAAATTCATGATTTCATAGATGAGTGAAATGATGAACTAAAATCCATTGATCAAATAGCCAGGAGCAATCAGTAAGCCTATTTTATCCTGGTTACATAACTCCCTAGAAACGAAGTAGAAGAATCCAAGAGCCAACAAGCTCGTATAAACCTCAATAGTCAGCATAGCAACAACCGTGACCCATCTCTCATAATTCAAAAACGAGAAAGAATGAACAAAACCTCTAATATATCAAAAATAGAAAACAGCAGCAGCTCGAACTTAGTCCCTCACCAGTAAGTAATTCTTTTAAAGAATAGAAATATTAGCTTCTCAGAAGGACGGAGACTGGACCAGATGTCTTCTATCCCTGTCCAGGAATCGCCTCACTAATAAATCTTACTGCTCAATTATCTATTGTCAACTGCAAATCACTTAGTAGAGATTTTTCTATGAAAATTGAATACTTCAACTTTGATCTCTCTATGGGGTTTTGGGGTTTTGGGGTTTTGGGGTTTTGGGGTTTTGGGG